CCCCGGGCCCCGCCCCCCGCGGGCAGCCGAGGGAGGAGCGCGAGGCGCCGCCTGGGCACTGGCGGACGGGTCCCGTCCTCTGCCCCCCCTCCGAGGTTTGAACTTGGAAACGTCAGGGGCTCAGATCACAGGTGGAGGAGCCTTGTGACCCAAGGTCGCCGACAGGGTTGGCGTGCGGGGCTGGCACTTTTATGCCTCCGCTCGGCTTGCTGCCCACTCACCTCGCTTTTTTTTCGAAAGTGACCGCACGGCACCCCGCGCCCTGGACCCCCCTCCCCCGCACAGGACATCTCCACTCAAAGAACAGCGACCCCGCTGCAGTGGGACCTTAAGGTGCGGATTCAGGTGCCACTTGTGACTCCAGGTGGCCCTGGATTTCCCAGCCCTCGGGTGCCCGTTAGCTGTCATCAGAATTTGGATCCAGAGGCCGAAGGGCTCCAACTCTGCCTCTAAGCCCTCTCGAGTGAGTGCCATTCTCCGACCACGTCGAGACTGGCTTCTGCACCCGTCTAAATCATCCTCGTGGGTTCCCCCTGCCTCAACCTTGTGAACTTTCTTGGGGGCATCCAGCTCCCCGTCACAAGCCACACAGGAAGGAAACTCCTTGGAGCTGGGGGCTCGAGGGCCAGTGGTCGCTCATTGTGTACCCCTTCCTCCACGGGCTTGCCCGGCCTTGGCTTTCTCACCGCCCCATTCCTGTACTTCTCTCTGTAGGGTCAAACGAGATCCCGAGTCCAGGCCTAGAGGTGCTGACGGCGGTGGGCGCCCCAGGCCTGAGCAGGCACGGTTGCTCTTGAGCTGCGGAGCTGTCTGTGTTGCCATTGAAGGATCTGCCGATTCACCCCAACCCACAAGTCTGGTTATTTCAGCCAGAACCCGGAGAAAGCTTCCTTGATACTGAGAGAACACGCAGAAGAAAGGAAAGAAACACATTTATTGGGAATCCAGTGTGCTGGAAACGCCATAGAAATCATCTTACTTAATCCTCACACCACCCTTAGGAGGCAGAAATTCTACCCATTTTGCAAATGAGGAAACTGAATCAGAAGTCAGAGAGGCTGCTCCAGAGCACACGAGCACCCTGCAAACACATCACTTATGTGGCAAAACTGCCAGAACTAAATCCACACTCCCACAAAGCAAAGCACATAAAATGTGGGACTTTAATAAGGCACAGCGATTTGCATTAATGACAATTACCTCGTTTTGATATTTTACCACAGTTAGACAAGTTATTCAAAAAGTATACCTCTTGAAAAAGCCAGGGGAATCAACTACAGAGAAGCTCTTACAACTTCATGTAAATCTATAGTTATCTCAAAAAAATTTTAAATACTTGTAAAAGGAGATCCATCTTATTTTAAAAGCCAAGCAGGGCCAGCAGGTGATGTGGTAGATAAAGCGCTGGACTCCCACATGGCCAACTATGGTTCAAGTCCCGGACCCAACAGCTTGAAAATCATGCTGGGTGTGTATTCATACATGCCCAAAATCCTGAGAGGAGAATGAAAGAGAAGGTATTGAGGTGTGGCCATTCCCCTTAGGGGTGATTTCTCACTTTCCCTCTCATTGGCTCTCTCTGGGTGAGCTCACGTGCCCTAAGACAAAAACATCCTAAAACAAACAAACAAAAAAACAAGCCTTCGTCAATATAATATAATATATTTGGAGAATAAGAAAGGGCAGAGGTTTATTCTCTGTCCTTTTTCATACTCCGAAGAAACACATACAGAGATTCTATATGCATGGTTGTTTAGTCCAGTAATAATTACATATGCACACACACATACACACAGTTTATTGAGAGGACAGCTGTCCCCTTACACAGTGTCATCTTATAAATCAGAGAATGATGCTCACTGGGCATGAAACAGCCTAGAAGACAGAAAGATATGTCTTCCTGTGTTCACCTAATCTCTGCCACGGAAGCCTAATCCTACTTATCTCTCCATACATCTCCCTTTTAAAAAATTACCTTATTGGGACCAGCAGTTAATGTAATGGCTATGTCGCTGGACTCCCACGTAGTCGACCGCAGTTCGCGACTCGGACCCTGTGGCTTAAAACTCATGCCGGGCGCGTGTGCGTGCGTGCCCAAGATCCCGAGAGGAGAATGGAGGAGAAGGGATTGCGGTGTGGTCATCCCTCCTGGGGGGTGATTTATTGCTTTCTGTCTCTCTGTCTCTGTCTGTCTGGTGAGCGCACGCGCCCTATAGCAAAAACCTCTTAAAAATAAAAAGACCTAATTTAACTTTATTTATTTATTTAATTGTTTTAATTTGACCAGAGAGAGAAATAAAGAAAGTTAGAAAGTAAGCTGCCAGGTCTGGGACTTGAACTGTGGTTAGCCTTGTGGGAGTCCAACACCCTTAACTACCATGCCGCCTGCCAGCCCCAAGCATCTCTTTTTAGCCTGTAAGAATCCTTAAGGATGAGACTGATCTTGAGTTTAAAGCAGTGATTCTTTGTGACTAGTGGATATTGAAGGTGATATTCACTCCTTGTGAAGGAAGATCAAAACTGGAGGGTTGTAGACTGAGAAACACAACCTGTGCTTTCTTTATTTTTATTAGTATTATTTATTATTTTTATACATTCGGTCATTATACATCATTTAGCTTGTAACGAGATTTTACCCACCATGATGTACGCCACACAGCAGGCGAGTTGAGACTATTATATACGTCATCACCAAAGGCAACAAACCGTATCTGTGTAACACGAATGTCTTCTCCATATTTTCCAAAATTGCCCTTCCTGCCCTCTGCCCCCCTCCCACTCTCCTTCCACTTTGTCCCCAGTGTCCTTGACAATTTTAATGCTCTTATGTTCTCCAGTCTTTCAGTCCCTCCTGTAGAGTGTAGACCATCAGTATATGTTAAGTAGAGACGTACAATGAATGTCTTTGTTTCCTAGCCTGAACTTGCTTCGCTCAGCGATAGCTCTTCCAGGTTCGTCCACTTTCTATCAAGTGTCAGGATTGTGTTGTTTTTTTATGGCTTAATAGAGTGTATGTGCCACACTTTTTCAATCCTTCATCTGTTTGTGGATATTTGGGTTGGTTCCACGTGTTAGCAATCGTGAATAATGCCGCAATAAATATAGCTGTCCAAGCACTTTTCCGACTGGGTGTTCTCCTATCCTTTGGGTAGATACCCAGGAGTGGAATTGCTGGATCATATGGTAGTTCTATTTGAAGGTTTTTGAGGAACCTCCATATTGCTCTCCACAGCAGCTGGACCAATTTACATTCCCACCAACAATGTAGGAGAGTTCCCCTTTCACCTCATCCCCCCCCCACCAGCACTTATCACCTTTTGTAATCTTTGGCTGGGGTTAGGTGGTATGTCACTGTGGTTTTTATCTGCATCTCCCTTACGTTGGGGGATGGTGAGCATTTTTTCGTATGCTTTTTGGCTGTTCCTTAGTCTTCCTAAGAGAGTTGTTTATTCAGCTCATTTTCCCATCTTTTAATTGAGTTAATCGTTTTCTTCTGGGTAAACTGCTTGAGTTCCAAAAAATATGGAACACTTCATGAATTTGCGTGTCATCCTTGCGCAGAGCCATGGTAGTCCTCTTTGTATCGTTCCAATTGCAGTATACGTGCTGCCGAAGCTAGCACAACGTGCACTTTCTCGAAAGGAGCAAAGAGGGTGGAGTTAGGGCCACACTGGGAGACAGGATCGCCTCGTCTTGTTACATGGCGGTGAAGTGTGGCCCATGATCATGGTACCGTGTGGGTTGGCAAGAGCGAGATTATTTCCTAAGAATAGCATGCCTGAAATGTAGGCTGCACATTTAGAGCAAATGGTTAGTATTAGCCCAGGCTAGAGTCACCAGGGAGGAAAGGGCCTTACTTTCCTTAGTGTTAGTCACCTTTCATTTCCTCTATTAAACAAAATGTTATAACAGAAATAACAGCCCAGCTCCACTTCTATACTGTATGCAATATAAGAAGAAAAGGCGGGACCGGCAGTTGGCGTAATGGCTATGTCGCTAGACTCCCATGTAGTCAACTGCGGTTCGAGGCCTAGACCCGGTGGCTTAAACTCACACCGGGCACGTGTGTGCGTGCGTACCCACGATCCCGAGAGGAGAATGGAGGAGAAGGGATTGCGGTGTGGCCATCCCCCCGGGGGGTGATTTCTCACTTTCTGTCTCTCTGTCTGTCTCTGTCTTTCTGGTGAGCACACACACCCTATAGGAAAAACCTCTCCAACAACCTGAAAGAAAGAAAGAAAGAAAGAAAGAAAGAAAGAAAGAAAGAAAGAAAGAAAGAAAAGAAAAAAGGGCAAGAAATGTAAATGTTTATTTTGAATTAGTACCTTTACAAACCAGATTTTTGCTCTTTTCTATTGCAGTTAACTTTCATCTAATAAAGAGCCTTGTTCAAGGACCCAGGATCTTTCAAGTTTTGTACATGTGTTCTTGAGTAGTTTTTGACTACAGTTCACAGTATTGGACTGGGTTGTTCAGATAGTTACAAGCCCTGGGGTTCAGCCAAGTGGTGTGGTGATTAAGGTGGATGGATTCCCCCATGGTCAAAGTCATGGACCCAGAGATTTGAAAAAATCACACCAGGTCTGTGTGTGCATGCCCAAATTCCCAAGAGGGAATACAGGAGAAGGGATTGTGGCCTGGTATCTTCCCCTGAGGGCGATTTCACACTTTCTCTCGCTCCATCTCTGTCTCTCACCAGCAAGCATACACACCCTATAGCAAATGTAAGACAAATAAACAAAAACAACAACAACAAAAAAAAAACTCTTTAAAAATTAACTAAAGAATAATCTAGAAAAGAGAGTATCACTGTTCATTACTTCCAGAAACTTTGTAATGCTCAGTTTAAAGTCAACATAATCAATTTTAAAAAGAGTGCAAGAAAAAGAAAATTCAGATTTTGTAAATTTCCTGGGATCTGAAGAGTTGAACAAAATCTTTCGTTCGTTCGTTCTTTCTTTCTTTCTTTCTCTCTCTCTCTTTCTTTTTTTCTTTCTTTCTTCCTTTCTCTCTCTCTCTTTCTTTCTTTCTTTCTTTCTTCCTTTCTTTCTTTCTTTTTCTTTTTTTTTCCCTGTTCAAGGAAAGGCTACAGCTCTAACCAAACTGTCTACCCTTCCCGAAAGTCACAGTTGGGCATAAGGTGTTTTTTCCTCACAGAACAGTTGAAAGCTCTCCTGTCTCTCATGTAGAAATTCTCTGTGCCTTCCAAACTAATGTAATAGATGTCTTTCTAAGTTCTCTGACCATGGGAACTCAGCATACCTGTCTTTAGGAAAGGCCAACTGGTGAAAGCAAATTATGAGTTACAGCTGGGCTCAGGAACTTGCTGGGCCAAAGGAAGGGACATTACATTTTCCACAAGCCCTAAGAAAGAGTAATATGAAAAGAGGAAGGGAAAATGTGGGTTCCAGATATGCAAGTCAAGGGCTAGGAGTTTGAGCAGCACAAGAATGCAGGGGTGGGGGGGCAGTAGGTGGCGTGGTGGTTAAGGGCACTGAACTTGCACTTGGCCACCACAGTTCGAGCCCTGGACCTGGTGGCTTGCTTTCTTACCCTCTCTCTCTCTTTCTCTCTGTCCCTCTTTGGTCAAGTTTTTAAAATAAATAAATGAAGTTAAATAAAATTATTATTTAAAAAAATATAAAAGCATAGTGCGAATATGCCCTCGGGGTATATTTTTCCCTTGGGGAAGCAAAATATGCACACATAGAGAGTAAGGGAATGATGTGGGGAGGCCCTGGATTCTCATCAGGTCCTGCAGCTGCAGGGGAGGGCCGGGTAGGGAGGCAGGCGTACACGTATTCTAGCAGGGCAGAGAAGAAAGCAGCGATTTCCCTGACACATGCCTCCCAGAGGTCATCCTCACCATTGCTGTATGTGTCAGGTCCCGATCTCCTCTCTGAACGTTCAGACCTTCCTTAGGCCATGCAGATATGAATCTGCAAGGTCTGCAGCCGGCCTCTCCTCGCTCCTCTCTGCTCACAGGTGCCTCTGAATCCTCCCTCTCTGCTGCTCTTTCTGTCCAGACTGTCGGTCTAAGGCATTTTTGATGGCTTGTCTCCGGCCACTGTTCTGTATCTGGCCCGGCAGTCAAAGCACAGCAGGAAGGGAAGTGGTCATTGGACATGTGCCTTTTGGATCATGGACTGAGCATTTAGGGGCTTTCCGAATTCTTGGCATTCGCATGCAGAAGCATTAGTGCATGTGTGCAGAGGATGGGAGCTGGGTCTGAGCTTCACTTTTGGAACTAGCCCTTTTATGTGGCTGAATTCTGAAGATACTCTTCTTTTTTTTTTAAGAATTATTTTTTAATTTTTATTAATTTATTTTAATTTGACCTGAGAGGGACAGAGTGAGAGAGAAAGGGAAAGTGTGAAAGTAAGCCACCAGGTCCAGGACTCAAACTGCAGTTGGCCATGTGGGAGTTCAGTGCTCTTAACCACCATGCCACTTGCCAGCCCCAACACTCTACTCTTCTAAAGACTGAATGCCAAAAGAGTTGACTACGGCTTCATTCTGAGCAGAGGGAAATGAAATTGTAGTTTAAGAAACATGCATATTTGGGCTGGCCAGTGATATGGTGGGTAAGATGGCTGGATCCCACATGGGTTGAGTCCCTGATCCAGCAGCTTGAAAAAGCACACAGGGACCTTATGCATGGGTGTGCAAAATCCTGAGAGGAGAACAGAGGAGAAGGGATTGTGGCATGACCGTTCCTCCTGGGAGGTGCTTTCTGTTTCAGTCTGTTGGTTTCTCTCCCTCCAGTGAGCACATGTGCCCTACAACAAATTAAAAACAAAGGAAGAGGGACCAGCAGATGGCATAATGGTGACATCACTGGACTTCCAGTAGTTGACCTGGTTTGAGTCCCAGGCCCAGCATCTTAAAACTCAGGCTGGGTGCATGTGCATGTGTGTCCAAAGTCCTGAGAAGAGAATGGAGGAGGATGGATTGCAGTGTGGCCAACCCCCTGGGGGAGAGATTTCTCACTTTCTGTCTCTCTGTCTCTCTGGCAAGCACATGTGCCCTATAGCAAAAATCTCTCTAAAAAAAGAAAGAAACCTGGATCCAGGGAGGTTTAGTTCCTGGCTGAAGGTCCCCCAGGGTATTTATGGCCCCCTAGCCTGGGTCTGTCTGTCCCAATACCCCTCTGTTGAGCACACCTATGGATGATGTAAACGGCTCCTGTGGAATGAATTACAATGTTTAAAAACATATATATATATATTTAAAAATCATCACTCTCTAGACCTCTTGTCCTTTCAAAAACACTTTTAAAATAAAATTTCAAAAGAAAACAGCCCAGTGTATACTCTTTTGATACTTAGAGATGACACCCTGTAGCCATTTGTTAAAGGCGTTCTGCTGAGCCATATGAGCGCCTGCAGAGCCCAGCACAGAGAGGCCTGGACGCCAGGCAGCCAGGGACTGTGGTGCCTGGCTGTCCTCCAGGGACACGCAGGAGGGCGCTTCTTCATCTTCCAGCTCCATCCCACCCACACCAGCTCCTCCAGCCTCAGAAGACCCGTGCTGTTCTCCACGATTAACGATTAACGTCAATGGCCTGGAAATAGCTGAGTGACCTTTTTCTTCCCCTCTGCACATTTTTCTGTACCTTATATTCTGAATCAAGGCAAAGCTGAAATGCAGAAAAAGTGACCATTTCGAGACAGAAAATGAGACCAACAGAAAAAGAGCATTGTTTCCAATAATGACATTTGGGAGTAAACCGAATAATGAGGCTATCTTTACACCTGGATTGATGAGAAAGCATTTAGATGTGGCATTACAGAAAGGAACAGAAAGACCTTCGATTTTCATTTTATTTTCACAGGAGTGGGGGGATCAGGGGATGGCGTTATGGGTATGGTTCTCTAAGGATGTAATTTAGACCTCTTTTGCACCCAAATACTGAGATCAAAGTGATGGTTAAATCTCATGGCAGTGGACTCTGTGAGTCATATCTCTTTTTTTCTTTTCTTTCTTTCTTTCCTTTTTCTTTCTTTCTTTTTCTTTTTTTTTTTTTTTTGAGAGGCATTTGCTATAGGGCATGTGTGCTTGCTAGAAAGACAGCGAGAGACAGAGAGAGAGAAAGCGAAAAATCACCCCCTCCCCCCCAGGGTGATGGCCATGCTGCAATCCCTTCTCCTCCATTCTCCTGTCAGGATCTTGGGCACGCATGCACATGCACACGTGCCCAGTGTGAGTTTAAACCACCAGGTTCGGGACTCGAACTGTGGTTGACTACATAGGAGTTCAATGATATTTCAATCTATATAAAGGTCAACTTAGAGGCCCAAGTATTGGGCTAATGCTGAGGTACCAGATGCCATACTCAGATTATTACAACAATGTGTATTTTCCTGATTCTTCATTGTTGAGGTTCCTTTCCCGACATCATGTGGGTCCCCCAAAGTGTGAGCATGTAAGATAGAAGGAAACAAGGGCAGCGGAGAGAAAAAGAAGTACCTATTTATGTGTATCCGGTCATAGGTCAGAATCAAGAACAGTTCGGGATAAGAGTGTGCGTGTGCGTGTGCATGTGCGTGTGCGCGCACATTGGATGATAGGTAGGTAGGTGTGCAGAGTAGCTTGTTTGTCCTTCAGACCTTTACCCGTCCA